TGCGTTTTTGCTGCCTGTTGCAGCGCTCTAGCGCTGCACGGCAAAAACGCATAAAAAGCATAAAAAGGAGAAATTCGCAAGTTATAATTTATGGATAAAAGCTTGAAGAGGGAGGCAGGAAATGCGATAACGAAAGAAAAAAGAACGGAGGAAATCTTGGATATTTATTTAGTGCTTAATGTTTTGATAACTGGGGAGGAGTGGGAGCATGTACCAAGTGAATAAAGAACTGAACAGCGTGAAAGTATTTGAAAAAATTATAGAGTTCTCTCTTCCTGATGGTGGTTTGGCATGCAATAAAGTGAGTTGTCTGCTTTGGAGTGGATCGGAGCCTCAGCTATGCATTGTTGGAATGGTGAGTGATTAAGTTCTTAGACTGCAAAACATTTGCAGTTTTACCAGGCTAAACGCCACACTTCTGTCACAAATCCGTAATTTCCTCAAAAAGAGAAATATCTATTTCAGACTTTCCTTGCCTGATTCCCCAAACTGCAAAACATTCACATTATTGTGCACCAAATGTCATACTGCTGTCACAGATCCGTCATTACCTCAAAGAGAGCAAAATATGTTATACATCAAACTTACCTTCAGAGAAAAGTGTTCTCCAAGTGAAAATTTTTGTACGCAATTCAGGATGGAAGTGTTTCAATGTGGAGTGTGATTAAAGCGAACAAGGAAGCAATCAAATGTTTGGGCAATGGTGCTCTTGGTGAGCCAGCTAACTGCATCTGTCGCAGGGCTATGTAATCATTTGCTCAACAAAATATCTTTTGTTTTGAAATTACCAAAACAGCAATGCCAATATCAAGGTCGCCTGGGCAGGAGATTCTCGCACTGACCAAAAACAGTTTTATCTGGCTGTTCCAATGCATTTTCGCGTTCAATACCAACACTGAACTGTCTTGGCTCGGAGTATTTCGAGCTATTTCAGTTTTAACTCGTTCTTTCTTGTCACTTATGTTTGTGGTCAGAGCGACAGTCCTTCGAGTAGTAAACAGTTTTCACGCTAGCGAGAGACATTGTCATTAATTCATGAACTGAAGCACAAAGAAATTTTGAACAGCTGCGTCCAGTTTCTAAAGCAATGAAATGGTTTCCATGTCTGTTTCAGCAGTCAGTCCGACGAAGCTGATCAGGAACAAACAAACACGGAAGCTGGCCGCGGACCCGATAAATTGTCACCTCCAGCAAACGATGCGGGAATGAAGAAAATAGTTGAATATCTATTTTAATTAATAGGATCTTTAATTGGTTCGAACAGATAACCATTTTTAGCACTTGCGAAATTCCAGGAGAGAAAGAATTTGAAAGAATGCTTTGTGATTGGCGGAGCAAACGGCGGTATCCACGTCTACTTCCAAAACAACGCTATCAGAAAGATTTATCAGGCAAGCGGACTTCGTTCTTCTTCATTACTCCCTAGTAATAGGTTAGCGGAACAGTACCAGCAAGCCGAAGTTTTCATTTACCGCCAAACAAATCTAAATATTCTGCAACAAACATATTGCGAAGTCTTTGCCA